TCACATGGGCCAGGTAAGCAGTGTAATTCTTCCTCAAATACTTCTGCATCTTCATGCAGGATACCAGCTTAAACATTCGGTCTAGCTTATCTCCCTGGACCACAATTGGCTCCATTCCCTCTTGAGGAATTCGAATAAGCTTTTCTGAACAAACAATATCAGCTTGATTTTTGGATAGCCAGTCCATTCCTACAATTACATCAAAACTTCCTAGTTCGATCGGTATAAGGTCTATACTAAAATCCTTATTAGCTAGGTTCATAGTGCAATTTAAAATTACGTTTCTAGCCTTGAATTCCTGGCCATTAGCAAACTCAATTACGAAGGCTTCTCTCAATTTCTGGGGTTTTAAGTTAATTCTCTGCTTAAAGTCTAGTGACACAAAACTTCTGTCCGCCCCAGAGTCAAATAAAATCGATACAAATTCATTATTCAGAGGAAACGTACCTGAAACTACATTGGGATCCTCTCTGGCTTCCCTGGCTCCCAATTCAAAAGCTCTCCCTCGAGCCTGACTTCCTGAATTACCCGCACTACTCTGTCGATTCTGGTTTGCATTTGCCTCTGTTTTTTGTTTTGGGCAATCATTCCTTATATGGTCTGGACTTCCACACTCATAGCATAAACGCTTCCGGCAGTCCTTTGCCATGTGACCCCCTAGACGACACCTCTGGCAGATGATACAATTCCCTCGATGTGGAAATTTGCACTTGTTGCATCTTTCTGCATCACCCTGCCTTACCACCTGTGATTGGGCTCCAAAATTCCTTGTCATTCTTCTGCTTCTATCGAATTTCCTTCCAACCCTTCAGTCTCCAAACTCCTCTATCTTTCGTTTTCCTTTGGCCAACCCTCCGGATCGCACAGCATTGTTCGTGAGTTTCGTGGCAATTTCTACCGCCTCTTGGATAGTCTTTGGATTAGCAGAGGTTATGTTCCCCCTAATTTCTGGAGACAATCCCCAAATGTACCTTTCAATTCGAACCTCCTCTGGTGTCACAAGGTGCGATACCAGGTTTGCCAATTCGTGAAATCTTGTTGTATACGCAGAAATATCGTCCCCTTTCATTTCGAGATTCCACAATTCCATTTCCAACTTTTGAAGTTCACTCTTTGGACAGTACTCGTCTTTTAGCAACTTCTTAAAATCCTCCCAGGGAATTCGGTTAGCCGCTTCTCGGCCTCTGGCTTGCACTAGTGTGTTCCACCAAGTGAGCGCCCTTCCTTGCAATAGGCATGCTGCGTGCTCTACTTTATTTCCTTCGGTGCATTTGCTAATGTGTAGAACGGATTCCACGCTTTCTAGCCACGATAGTAATCCTACCACTCCTTTGGTTCTATTAAATTCCTTGGGATTACAAGCTCTGAAAGTCTTATAAGTACATTCTCGCGGAGGTCTAGGTTCAGAGTTTGAAGTCTGGTTGGCATTCAGTCTAGCAGCCACTTGGCTGACTATATTGGGTAGTGCAGCGATAAGTTGGTCAAATACGAGTTGCGCTATATCGGGGTTCTCCTTTCTTGGCCGCATTTCTTTGGATCCTAATCAAAATGGAATTCGTAAGTTGATGGCAGAGCAAGGGTAATAGCATCCCAGATATTTCTATGGTACCCAATAGTGTTCTTCGTATGGAGGGTAAACAGTCATTATCAAAACCAAAATAGAGTAAACTCATTCTAACAATAAATTGACATAATAAGCATTCTTCAAAAGGTGCCATGCATTGAAATTGGATGATGAGAACAAAACAGGGTTTCTAGCAATCGGAACAAGAGTGAGTATCCTATTCTGAATTCTACTTCTAGAATAACATCCAACCTATAGCTATTCCTAATGCCAACATCATTATGCTACAAACAAACAACCACTTATACAACCTCCTAATTTCACGTCGGGTGGCAGCAGTAGCCTCTCTGTTCCTTATTAGGCTCTCATGATGTGCTTCCATTACATCGGACAAGTTGTTGAGGATGTGATGTTGATAACTCAGTCGAGTCTTGTGTACTTGTGTGTCCGCTGCAATCTTTCTTACCCACTCTCTTTTCGTTGGATTCATCCCTTGAGGGTAAGACGCAGGTATTCTAGTCACAATCTGAGTCATTCTGTTCCCTTCATGGGGTCGGGATGACTCCCCTGTGACATTCTGTGAATTCTCAAATGTCACCCTCTGTGGCAGTGGGACTCTCTTCTTGGGTGTGACCCTGGTTCTTGGACCGTGATAGGTTTGTGGCGGAATGTCAGGTACTGGCTCCGTCGGGKGTAGGTAGGACACTTGTGGTGTGTCAGCAGCACCACTTGAAGCCGTATCCTGGTCGTACGGGTCCACCTCTTCGTTGCGGTTCAAGTTCCTTCTGGAGCGACCGACTACGTATCCGAATTCGTCGACGGAATAATCTCTTGGATTATAAGACATTTTAGAGATCTGCGACATGAACAATCTTAATTACTAAGGTGCATCCTCTAGCATAAGCTTAGTGATTTAAATAGAAACTTCTAAATAAAACTAAGTCATGACAAGCAGACTATATCCTCTGGTTAATCCTCTAGTTATATTACCAGAGCTTCTGGTCGTGAGACCAGAGCTTCTGGTTGCACTAGAGTCCTTAGAAAAGGAATTCTTATTCTTCGTTTTTCTGATAATTCAATGGAACTTCATCCTATCAACAAATGTCGTAATCCTCATACTAGAAATATTTATATATCTTACCTTCATCGACCTAATGCACTTACCAGAGCTTCTGGTAGCAAGGCCAGAGCCTCTGGTTCTACTTGGTGCACTTACCAGGGCTTCTGGTTACGAGACCAGAGCCTCTGTTGCAATATCTATACTTAGAGAAATTCTAAGAAATCCTTCCATCGATCCTCTGGTTCTTCTATTCGCCCTTACCAGAGCTTCTGGTTGTGAGACCAG